GTGTCATCACCATAAATTTGGGGGACGGAAGGGCGATGCAACATTGTAAAGCACTTTGCAGAACCACTACGTTTTAAAAGCGTTGTTTACAGGCGCAGCGTTTGGGAACAATCAGGCAGCACTCGCTTTAAAGGAGGAAGACTGAGTAATCGATGTTGAAACACCTATTTGAAATAATTGGTGCTGCTTTATCTACTGTGTGTCCACATCGATATTCTAAGAACTGAAAGACATTGTGTTGCGTTTAAAATGAGTGGACTTTTATAAGTCCAATTTACACTCTATTTGAAAGCTTTTTTGTTATCCGAGTATGGAAAAAAGAAGAATAGGAAATGAGTTCACTGATGAAACAAATTGGGCCTCAAGTAGGTTGTAGAGAGGACTGAATGAAACCCTGGAATCCTGTGCTCACATCAGTCCCAGACAGGACAATTAAAGGAAGGCGAACGATGGTGAAAGGTTTCAAACTCTAAACAATTTCTCAAACTTCCCTGCAAAAAATTGTCCACGTGCAACATTATTTTCACTTAACTCCTATGTTTAGTGCAATATATTTAAAGGTTCAGGACTGTGCACGTTAGGGCTGCAGAAAGTTATTTATTGTTGTGCAGTCGCTGGTGTGCTGACATGTTTGAGCATATTGTTATCACCAGGCAACCACAACACACGCATGGCCGTTGTGGCCGTTCAAGAGAATTTAGTGGCCTTCATGTGGAATTTGGCTGTGTTCTTATTGTCATAATTACTCAGAATTACTTAATCAAATTTGTTCTTGAACCAGCTGCTGAATAGTAGGGACCAAAGGCGCTCAGAGTGAAGAGAGCACAGAGGAAACAGCAGCTCTCGCCGAAACACAGCCGATTCAACCACATACACCCACACGATAACAACCCACAGCCAGTCCTACTGTCCGACGTTCAAATGTTATGGGGAACTAAACACATTAACCAACATGAAGGCATTTCTTTCTTCTTTAAATGAAATTGACAGCTACATTTCGCATTGAAAATGCCAAATACTGGTGCCAAGAAATGTAACCGATGTTCACTCTGGGTACTCTGGCCTCCTCCCACTATCCAAAAACATAGATTCATTTGACGCTCAAAATTGCCCTCCTGGGAGTGAATGTGAGTGTGTGTGTTTTTGCGGCCCTGCGATGGACTGGGGACCTGTCCAGGGTGTGCCCCGCCTCTCGCCTGTAGTCAGCTGGGACTGGCTCTAGCCCCGAAGGTATAGAAAAAGGATGGATGAGTCGGGGCCGTTGTTCAGTGGGGCCGGCTTCACCACAGCCAGTGGACAGTTTTGATTTCATGTATGGACATTGAGGAAACAGTGACGCAGCTTTTAACATCAAATGTTTCTCTAATCCTTATTAGCCACCTGGATTCAACTAAGAAAGTAGCTACGAGCTTCCTGTTGGATGATTATTAATCCTTCAGAAGGCGCCATCTTTTGCTGGTGTCGGAATACCAATTAACGTCCTTTTTTTTACCACTGAGCCATAAAAGCTGACCATTAGATGTTTATTTCTGTAGGGCAGAAGAGGGCAATGATTCCGCTCAAAGTTGACACGACCTCTAGTGGTTGTGGGACTAACTACGTGTCATTTAACGGGGGGGACACAACGCAATGCATTTCAGCACCAGACGTGACTGCTTTGTGACACTAACCACAACAGTTCAACCAACACGAAAGACGGAAGTCACACAGGACGTATCACGCTGTTCCTCATCCCTCAGTAAAAAAGACACAAAACTGAAAGTTGGACGCCGTGACGACTGCTAATGATCGGCTGATGTTGGATAAAACAGGCCTGTGTTTTTCCCACTGCTGCTCATAGTCATAGTCAGTATTCTACACCTCGCCTGATTGGTGCTTTCCCTCCCAAAAAAATATCTGCTGAACAAATCCAGCATCATATAACATACATATAAAATGACTTCAAATAAATAAAGACACTCTTAAATTTGCATAGATCTTTATTTTTTTTTAGTAGAATCTATAATTGACATCAATTAAATAAAAAGGAGAAAACAAGAGCAAAAAAATCTTTAAATTACAAGAAAATTACACTGCACCATTCATATAGTACAAAAATAGGCCTTATTTAGAGTTATGTCCCATGTAAGATAGTCATCCTTGTACATTAATCATAGGTCAAAAATCTGTAAGGTACTGTGTGCAGCCACCTGTCAGGAACCTCGAGGAGAGGCGGGAGGAGGTCAACAGAGTTGACTGAGGCTGCTTACTTAATGCTCGTCCATCACAAAGTGTCGCATTTCTACTT